AGTTTTCGGAGAATCTTCTTAGGACTGTAGGAACGTCTTGGAATCTTCTTAGAAGAAGTTTATTAGAATTTGTGCCATAATATAATCGCACGGGGTCGGGGAGCATCAAAAGCTTTGAATAGGTAGAATCCGAGGTAGAATCATTTTTTTAATTTAAACAATGGTAGAAAATTGTTGCAAAAAAGACGGTATGTCATACGCCTACAGAGTAAATCGTTTTTATGTTATGTTTATATTCAAAGATCCCCCGGATGAGAGTGCAGTGTCATCCTAGGATACGGAAATAGGAGTTTTGTTAACTTTTTTTTTCAAAATTAGGATGGGCTTATTGAAACAATTGGTTAAACCCATTCGGTTTTAAGAAAAAATAATTGAAAAAATGCAAGTAAATTTTGAAACGTTTAGGAACGTGGCTCACAAAGATCTCCCAGTTTATGAAACGCATGTCGGAAAAATAAATATTAAAGTCGTATTGGACATTTTTGATGAGAGTAAAATCCAAGTTGTTTGTGAGAGCTTTGAATAATAAATCTGATTATTCAATGGTGAAAGCTAATGTTTGTAAAAGGAAGTGTGGCGAATCTCCGGAATAGACAAATTTTCACGTGGGAATTTGTTATTTAATTTAATTATCTTAAATTACCTCCTCCCTCGTTTATTATTTTAATATCTTCACTTAGGGAGATGTGCAGATAAAAACACTTTGCATGTAGGTATTTGGTGTTTGGCAAAGCTTTCTCAATTAATAAATATAGGTAGGTAATCTGGAGACGTCTAAGTAATCGAAAAAGTACGAATCTTTTTGGATTCTACGCACCAAAATTAATAAGAAAAAGTGTTTTCCCAAAAAATTTTGGTGTAGTCGATTTTTGGTTAAAAAAAAGGTTATACAGTGCCTTTTTTAGAGTCCCCAAAAAAATTGTCTCAGATCGACCGGAAAAAAACATTTTCTTATAGAATAGGTATGGCCTGTAGATACTATAATTTCAAACAGTTCCAAGATTGGGTACTAGATCAAAAGTTACAGCCAGGGTTTTCCATATTACAGTATCGTTTAAATTGAAGTTAAGCCCTTGATATTTTTATTCCGTTAATTATACAGGGGGTTGTTCTGCCGTTCCCACTTTGAAAAATAACGACCGTTCAGTTGTTCACCAGTGCCTGGCTGCCCGTTCCCTGGATTTGCCGTTTCCTTTGTCTCCGACACAGTTTCGAAACCGCCGACCATGACCAGATGCAGGGTTCCGAATCTTCTGGTGGCGCTCGAGTTACCGTATCATCCCACCGACTGTTTATTTATTTAATTTTCCACGAAAGAATTTTCTCAAAGTACGTAGAGCGGG